CTGCTACTGTACCTTTCGACCAATGACAGTAATTGATGGTATGCTCCCATCCAGAGTTATGTAATTTGACTATATGTTTAGTATTACCATAGAGGTAACTCTAAGACCAGAAGGTCCCGAAGAAACTTGCTCAACTTTTTGGCTCAGCTCTGGTACTCTCTTCGGTCCCAAGCTAATCGATGCACCCCTCGAAACATAGGAAAATCCACGAATCCCTCATTTTATCTGTCAAACTTTCATAGCGAATCAAAACAAACATTGTGTAGTACTAGAATTTTGACTAGAATGGGGTACGTTAATCGCTTTGCTTGGGACCAATAGGCTAGTCAAGTAGTGAGCCAATTTAAAATTGTAAGTTTCCAACGGTTGGTATTACTTCTGCGTGAAGTCAACGATTTACATAGTTGAAGATGCTAATTTCGAATAACAGACTGAAGTGGTAACCCTTCCGTGAAGTAAGAGATGTATTGGGAACACGTGATCTTCCCTACATGCAAGCGATCTACGAATTCCTTTGTTTGTCTGATGTTAGAGTTTGATGTGACCATCCCATCCTTTCCAAACAATTTCCCGCCATTGTGTCCCAGTCTTATTATCCTCCTGTTCCTGTGCTACTTGCCCCTGCCCAGCCAGGATTTGGTCAACCGTCCGAGAGTAGTATCTGAAGGAGGCTTCAGAAACCAGTTTCCTACCTAGCTCCTTCCCATCGAAATTGTTACCCATTAACCTCGAGCCCGCCACGAGTAATTGGTACCCAATACTAACCTAGAACTACTGCTATTTAAAATGTAAAATCAAACATTACTGATTTTGGCTCCGCAAAGTGTCACACACGACTGAGCCTAGTAAATAAACGAACTAGTGAAAAAAAAAAAAAAAAGGACGCAGCCAAAACATGTTGAAATATTTCATTATATTCAAAGTGACCGTTAAAATAAGGTGTGCTTATACTTTCTGGAACAGTCTATATATGTATATATATATTAGAAAATTTGCCGGATTATTAAACAAGTTAAGAGAACTTCAGGTAAGCGTAGATAAGTTCAGGGAAATAAGTGAGCGTTTATAATGGTTAGAATAGTTGAAGAAAATTGTTGAAACTTCAAGGCAAATCAATTAATTTCAGTAAAGTTGCGGACTCGTAAAATATACTGATCAATTCAGGGCTGCCTAGAGAACTTTAAAGAAATTCAACAATCGTTTAGGTAGTTTTCATAACACCAGGAAAGTTTAGACTATTGAAGAAGTTTTAAATTAGTGTTGATAATTCAATGGAAGTTTCATGAACTTCAGAAAAATCATGAGAAGTTCAGGGGGCGACCCCGGCGTAGTGGTTAGAATCCATACCTCTCACGCCAAAGTCACGAGTTCAAATCTCACTCACAAACAAGAGCGTTAAAATGACTATAATAAAAAAAAATGAGAAGTTCAGTGAAAATCATAAAACTATATTAATTATTTCGCTCTAATTCCATGAAAATTGCGGGAGCACAAAAGTTCCAGAAATTTTGAAAAACTTCGAAAACTTCACAGAAGGACAGTGGTCTTCAGAAGTATTTTTAGGAGTTCATAGAAATCTATGGAGCTTAAGGGGAGATCCGCGAACTTCAGACATTTTTTATGTACAATAGCAAAATGCGGAAGCATTTGAAAGAAGTTTAGTAAGCTCCGAAAATTTGAGCAATGTCAGGGGGAGGTCAGTTCCATTAGTTTCAGAAAATTAGTTGGGAATTTAAGGCAGTTCCTAGATTTTCAGATAACTTCAGAAACGTTATAAAGTTAATTGAGGTCTTCGCATAAGTTCAGAAGTTCACTGAAGGTTCAATTAAATTCAGCGCAGTACAACAAGCTTCATGAAAACTGCCAAAACGTTAGAACAGTTTTGAGAATTTCAGAAAAGAACAGAGAACTTCAGAGCAGTTCCGTTAACATTAGAGAAGTCACATAAAGTTTAAAGAAGTTTAGAGGGCTTCAGCGAATTGTTAAACCTTTAGAAGGGATTCATGATCGTTAGAAAAATTAAGGAAACTTTAGGCATTGCTATTAAGTTCAGGGAAGTTTAAGAATTTGATGAGTATTGATGATATTGTGAACATCAGGCTAGTTTCTCAAACTACAAAAGAACTTCAAGGCAGTTTCATTAACTTCAGGAAAAATTTGGGAAGTTTCTTAAGACCTCAGAATAGTCCATTCCATATTCAATCGGTGAAGCTATCCTCCGAATTCAATGTTCTTTTAGTTTTCCTCGGAATTACCTTGAAATTCTCCACAATAAGACACCCTTTGGAAAGATTATCAGAATATTCATTGAATTCATTTCAGATTTCCTTTTGAATCTCACTCCTTCCCTTCGAATTCTACTTACATTGAAAGTCTCCTAAGAATTCATTGGTATTTCTCCTCACAAATTCCTTCGATTTCTTCTCATAATTTGTTTGGCAAACTCTCCCGAATTTATTTTCCGAAATTCCTTGGAAGATCCAGGGCATCATTTAAAGTTATTCTCAGATTTAAATATCCTTTTCGTATTTTCGAAAAAAATCCAAAGAATATGTTTTCTCTCACAAACTTAATGAAATTATCCTCAGAATGCCCTTGGAATTGTGCTCCTCAGAAATTTCGATGAGTTGTCATTAAAATTTACTTTTAATTCAATTCAAGGTCTTTTTTGAGTCACTATTTTTACAACTGTAAGCCACTATTTAGTCACTTATTGCTTCAACATGGTCACTGAAATCACTAATTTTGACAGCAGTGATCGCTACCAGCCCTGCAATTGCTTTGAGTATTATTTCAAGAGCGGTGTTTTGCATTATCACCAATAATAACGGGTAAGTTTCTTTTACTGGCCTACGCAAATTTAGTTTCGACAGAAACTCCCAAAGTTTCAAAAACTTTGGTTTCAAATGAAGAAAGAATTTGATGTTCGGTGCGTCTATGAACAATGATGGCAACTCCACCACCGGCTCCATCATGACGATCATTTCGTAATAATGTGCATCTCGTATGTTAAATTTGTTCCTCGCTGACCGTTATAAACAGCAGAGGAATTAGTACCTGGTTGGGAACATGGAGCGTTTCCCACCTGTCGCTTAGAACGAGATTGTAGCATTCACTCCGACGGCCAATTTGAAGTGAAAACCGAGGTGAAAACGAAGTTCAAAAGTTCCGTGCGAAGAGTATCGAAATCGGAAGTGGCTACCACAATAGGGGGAATCTTTTCCTTTTTGGCACTAAGCCAGCCGGGAAAGTTTAGTGGAGTTTTGCCTGGATGATGGATCATTCTCATCATCCGTTAGCATATTAAATTGATTGCTCAATTGAATTTCATCAGAAGGGGGATCAAGTGATTGCCCTTTTCTTTTGCGTTTAGGCGGCATAACCATGTTCCTCCAAATCGACTTCCAAGCAGATTACTATAAGAATCCGAAGGAGTCGATGGCCAAGCAGGATTACCTCGGGTAGGGTCCACACAAGGATCGCAGTGGAATAAGAGTCAGGCATGGTAGAAATTTTACAGGTAATATTGGGCTGTATCTTCAGGTAGTAGTAACACTTCCTTCAGCAGCAGCAAATTGATTCGCTCGGCAAGAGAAACAACACTCCACCAAGACACCCAGCTACGACCGATATAGCATAACATTCCTTGGTCATCTTCTCGGCTTTGGATGTACATCCGATTGTTGTTATAAGACTCGTTTTGTGATTTTTCTTATATCTACCAGTATCTCTATCTGTAATGCGTAGATAGAGCTGGAATAAGGGAGAACAGCTTTTGTAAACAATGACTTCTCTCGATGATTTCTAGGAATACAAGGCACGCCCACACAAACCAACATTACCGACGGGTAGGGGAAGTCTTACCCGAGGGGCAATTCACTGCTCTCAAGAATGAATCGAAAATACGTTTATGAAAAAAATACACAAAAATTCATCATTACTCGTCATTACTAAAAAAAATGCAAAAAAATACAAAATTCGGAAAAAAATACAAAAATATTCGACGAATAATAAAAATACACGATAATTCGTCATTTGGACGAAAAAATCGAAAATATGTTCAATCAAAATGCTGAATTCGAACAAAATGCGTAAATTTATTATTTTGTATTTTAATCCGAGCTCGAATCACAAAACAATGCATTAATGAGTAGAATTTCGCCCATTTTTAAGAAAAGTGCCTTAAATCATTTATTAAATAAAAAAAAAAACATTTTGAGTAGTTGTGAGCCACAAACAAGTAACGATTATTCATTAATGCGTAACAGATGCTTATTAATGCGTAATGAGCGAGGTAAGGGGCTGTTCATAAACTACGTAGACAATTTAGGGGGGGTATGGCAATTATCCGCGGCCCATACAAATTTTAAAAATTTTGTCTGGACAATTGTCTACGCAGGGCTTGGGGGCGGAGAAACCTAAAAAAACTGTCTACGTAGTTAATGAACAGTTCCTAATGAGTTAATGAGTTAAGCCTCTTTTCTTTAAAATGGGTGAAATTCTACTCATCAGTGGGTATTTTAAAGTTAGCGTGTGTTGTGCATTTGTCAAACAAAACGTCAACATTGTGAGTTTGATCCGTTTGATCCTCGGTTCGAGTGGTAAACATAAACACTGAAATGGCAGAATACACTTATAACTGATTTCCAATACATTAATGCATAAAAATACACTTTTATTTTTATAATACACAAAAAAATACATATATTCAAAAAATACAAAAAAATACATTATTACACAAAATACACGTTCATTCGATAAAAAATACTTCAATACGTTCATCAATGCGTTGGCCTGAATCGAAAATACACAAGTGAATCGCCCCTCGGTCTTACCCTACCTGATGACAAGACATCATCGAAAGAAGTCATTGTTTACCAAAGCTGTTACGCCCTTATTCCAGCTCTATCTTGATGTAGACCTGCACTCTGGCTGTCTGGGTTTCCGATTTGCTCTCGCAGGTCGATTGATGATTAAATATTGATGAGCATTATTTTCAGAGAATCTGCAGACATCCGTGCATCACGCTGTGTAGATAGCTTTTCCACATCTATTTCTCGCCGTTCCAAGGAACTTCTACCCAAGTACAGGAATTTCCATCCGTACTACAAATCTAGCGTAACAATTTTTCGGAAAATCATTCTTATCGAAACCAGTGATCATTAATATAAAAATAAATAAATAAAAAAATACAAAAGAAAGAAAGCAAATTCAAAAAAAGAGGACACAAATGTACAATCGTCATTTACCATAAGAAACGTCATCACTGGCAAAGTCCGTTGAAAACTATTTACATTTGCATCATAAGCAGTTGAGATTTATCGGTTCAATCAGTGTCAGTTGTCTTCAGTACCAATTCCGTCCGGGAGATTTAATTTCATCGAGCTTCGCGAAGCTCGATGCGTTGTGTATCGATCATGGTTGGTGAAACGTACCTTTACCTTAACCTATTCTCTCCTTAAATATTGAATGAAGGAAATATTTCACTTGCAAGTGATTTCATTAAGCTTAGGTTTCGCGCCACGCGCGGTGTCACGGTTGTACATATCGGTTAATTTTAGAACATGTTTTTACCAAACAATGGAAATCATTCAAGCTCCCTCTAAACAGTCACTGATGGGCTGCTTAAGAGCTCATGTTTTTCGTTAGGTTCACGGTGTGCAAATATTTTACTCGTTTTTAATTATTTTGAGTGACCGCGATCGGAGCTCGGAAATCGCAAGGGCGAAGACAAATTACACCCCTGATGAGGTGATGATTACAATAATAATGCTAGGAAACTTTTACGTGATATGATTGTGGAAAAAGTCCCAAAAACATAACCTTTATTTTTGTAAGCTTTTTAAGTACGCCGTCGGGAAATAAAATGTAGACTTTCTCTACTAGGTATCTGATATGAAGTAGATTTTTCGCTAATTCCAATTCGAATATGTAGCACAGGAACAGGATTTTCACAGGAACTTTGAAAGGTTTCCACACATCAAATATCTATTTTGAAGCCATGTTGTAGTAGTGCGACGGCGACCGCAATAGCAGACCGGAAAGAAGAAAGGGATAGAGAGAACAAGAGAATTAAAACAAAATATGATATTCTAGTCATTCGAGTAGTGGTAGTTGTGTAGGCTAAAAGGGAAAACACTAATTTAATATGATATGTATAATGATAGTATTATTAATTTAACCGTGCTCTATATATACACAAAACACAGAAACATTACTTACTTACTGCTAGACGAACAAACGAAGATGACCCGGCTAACCAAAACAGAATAAAACGGTGTATAATGGAAACAGAGAGCTCTAATATATTTATATGTAGTAGTAATTGCAAAGGAAATGTGACTTTTACTGGTTGAGAAATTCCCTGATCGTTGAGTTGCATCGAAATTACATCCAAATGAAGAAACACGGGCCCTCGTAAGTCATCCTACAAAGTTTACACCGAATTTTGAGAACAATTCACAGTAACGTGATGCTTCGCCGATTGTCGCATCCCCTGCATGCGAAGCATTTGTTCTCAAGGCCGTCCGACATTCGACATCAAGCATTCGAGGGAGATTGAAATCATTTCGGATCTACAGGAACACCAAACTGCTCATCCTTATTTTGCAATGTAAAATGTGAAAAGACATAACTTTATTTTTCCCTCTCGGTTTTTTTTTCTGTTTCGCTCATCACTTTGACTAGTTTCTCAACATTGGAAAGTTACATAAAAAATCGACTTTCGAAGCTCTGCTTCTCACAAGACGCTAACGTTATAGGTTTCAATCCCACAGTTTCCGTCGGTTTGTCGTTGTTCAAAAATGTTACAAAAATGTGTTCATCTGCAAGGGATGAGATTCGGGTTTACTTTTTCCTGGATAAAGTAGGTGGAGTTTCGTGCTCTATAAAGTGTGGATCGATTGCGGTGTGACCAGGTGTGAACGGAATTAGGTAGTTTTAGTTAAGGTTTAGGTTTTGGATGATGGAGGAAGGCCTGATGATTGGTGCGCTCATCGACCCGTTTCGACGTCTCGGTGATGATTTTGTGAAACCAGTGCCACCGGAGGGTTGGACGCTCCCGTTCCCTGGGACAGTGTGGTTTGCTCTTCGCCCTCCCGCTGGGCAGCTTCCGTCTCCAGGATCTTCCGATGTTGCTCTGGGAAAATGGATAGTTAGCATGACTTAGTGTGCAAGCGTTCATTTATGGACGAGGGATACTCACTTGCCAGCCGCACCATGATGGTACCCCACCAGATGGCCCAACCCCAACCGACGACGCAGAAGATGATGGTGAAGCACTGCGACACGCCCACTATGCAGTTGATGATGAACGAACCGATGCGACCTTTGATCGAATCGTGCTGGGAGAAACGAGGCTTCCCGATGCAAAGGCACAGCCCACCGGACAGGATGGTTCCCAAGCCCGGTATCACAACGTTGAGTATCTGGAGGATTACAAATTTTAGTTCGTCTGAATATCCCAAAGGAGCTCGGAAATTCTTACCAAACAAAAGTAAGCCAAACATATCGGTAGAATCGGAATAGCACCGCGCATCATCGAGGAGTGCTCCACCAGAGACATGTCGATTTTTGGTCGTAGGTCCTGAAATTGAAATGCATTAAATTGAGTTTCCGAAATCCGATACTTCCAACACACTGCAAACTTACTTCCGGTGGTATCGTCGGAGCGATACTCTGCTTCTTACTGAAATTGCTGGTTCTTCGACTGCCATTATCGCCCTTCTTCGGACAGCACATGATGCAACAGCTTAGACAGTTGAAACTATGGAATCCAAAATGGAAAATGTAACGATGATCCCGCTAGCGGAAATTGATCACGTTACCTGGACTTGACCTGCGGTTTCTTCTTCTTTGGCTTTGGTTTCTTCTTGGCCCGGTTCCGCTTGAAGCAGAAGCAGCACTTGACCGTCTCCATCTCGACCGGTTCCTCCTGCATTTTGTGGCGCTGCAATTGACCGTCGGCACCCTTGCGAAATCGGCTACAGCACAGCAGTCGGCTCCAACAGGAGCGGCATCGGGAGGTCTTCTCTTCCGGTTCGCTGTCGATCGATGATCGAGGCTGTGGGGACAGAATGAAATGTTATAAATTGCTTATTGCTGAATTTGGCGTGTCCACAGGTTAAAGGTACTATCCAGGTTAAAACATGTGGATCTTGGATGCCAGTCAAGAAGCTTTTTTAGATGGAAGATAAGCAATTATTTAGTATTGTTACCAAAGCCAGAATAAACCTCCTTTGTAGGAGCCTCTAATGTTGGCTCATGGATCTAAGATTGAACCCATCGCTAAAAATATGCAATTTATCAATTTTATCTACATAGATGAACGCGTCATTGAGACGGTACTAATGGATATTTTTGGTCGCTATGGATGAAATTTTAACTCTTGACCTTTAGCGTGTGAGATGCTTTCCGGCCAATAATTTTATGATTCTCTCCGGTTTTTCCTAGAAAGTTTCTTCATAACGGATTCTGAATTCTGTGCAGAACACTGGGAATTCCCCACAATACTCTGGAAAGTCACTCTACATTTATTTTCGTATTCTTTATAATTTTCGCGTTAATTTACGCTAATTTCTCTCTATAGTTTTTCTTAAAATTCCCTTTAAATATTCCTTTGAAATTGGTAATTTAGTCAGTATTCCTTCAATATTTCCTTGGATTTTACCTCAGATTTGCATCAGAATTTTTCTTAGAATTCCCTTGAAATTCTTCTCAAAATGGCAGTGTGAGAATCTCTTGGAATTTTCATGGAATTATCTTTGGAATTCTCATTAAACTCTCTTTGAAATTGGAAATTTCTTTAGAATCTCCTGGAAAGCTGCTCCAATTTTTTGTTTCAAACTAGATTGAAATTCTGTACTGATTTTTTTTAATTATATTTAGAATTAAGTTTTTTTGGATGTTCAATTTCAATTCAACTCCTCAGAATTCCCTATCATCATCATCATCATCATTAAGTTTGTCGAAATTAGAGTGTTCACTTGGCTGTCGACAGAAGCAGGCCACTCTCGATGTGTGTCACGCGATCGTCTGTTTGTTTGGCAGAAACCATTGTGAGTTTCTGCTCTTTGTTCTTCATCTGAAGTTCTTTCGGTCGATGCGTCGTCGACTTTGGAAAGCAATTGTTTCATGATGCGTGTGTGAGTGATGACTACGTTTTGCGTCCATTGCTGCAATGGAAGCGCTCTGCCCCCCATTGGCGAAAATGCCATACAATGAAACCACTGGAAGCGGATCCCGTTCGGATAGAGGAGTAGATGTAGTGTAAAGTAAACAAGAATCCTCGGCTCTGTAAAGTTAATTCGGTTGAGCCTTATCAAATAAATCAATAAGCAAAAAAAAAATTCGTCAAAACTCCTTCAGGGTTGCTTGTTTAGAATTCAGTTGATTTTTACTCATAATCCCGATCAGATCTTATGAACTACCTTAGAATTTACCTGTAGATCTCCTGACAATTTTTAAATTAACAACTTCCAAATTGACCTGGATCTTCTAGCCTAATTTATTTACAATTGTCCTCATTGTTCCTAAAGAGAGTGAATTGTAGAGGCCTACAATTCTCCTCAAGATTCTTCAGAGAATTCTTCATTGTGTCAGGATTCTAAAGTTTTCTAAAGTTTTATCTTTTCGTGCAACATATCAAACTTCATGCTTTTACAAAACTCGGCCGGTAATGGCTTTATTGAAGTTCCAAGGTCACACCCCCGAAAATGTTCCGCCTCCGGAGAAGTAGCCAATTCTCGGCAAGATCCAAAACCCGTCGTGCCACATATCAAACTTCATAGTTTTTCAAAACTCGGCTGGTAATGGCCTTATTAAGTTTGCACATTTCTCGACAACTACTGAAGCTAATTGGACTTGTTGCTAGTAATAGAAATTGACATCGCATTGAACATGACATGAAAAGCGGCAAGATCATAAAAACTGAATTTCCTCAAAAACAATCTTTTTTAAAGAATTGACACGGAAAATTTGCGTGAATCACACTTTACACGGTCGTGATATAGAATGTTATCTCTATTTAACGTTTTTCGGGGTGGCATAAACCAAGCATATTCGTCAACGAACAAGAGGAGCTATCAAATTAGCATCAGAGTTTCAATAAAGCACTGCACGCAAAGCTAACTTATTCTGTCGTCCTCTTTTTTCCTCTTCTCCGTGAGAATGAAAGAGATAGGAACAAATGGACACCAAAACAAACCCGGTGTAACTGTCAAAATTTTCGGCTGAGGAAAAGTGATGGGGAGATTTAGGTTAGGATTCGCGTAGTAATCTATATGAAATTTGGCTTCATTCGAGTTGCTTGCAGATTGACAACGTTTCAGTCTTGTGTGACAAATATGTTCAGTTACCATTCTTATCATGGATAGTGACGCAAGTTCCGAATGTGAGGGTTGATGCATATATTATGTCACGCTCTAGGGTGATTTTGCGACTAGCAATGCATTAGGTATAGGAAAAACGTCACGATAGGGGAGGGGGGGGGGGTTAAACTTCTCCTCGATTTAACGTGACATAATTAATGCATGGGCCCTGAGAGTATAACTTGTTGGAAATTGTCCATTTCCACGGGGGCACTGAAACATTCCCGGGAAACCCAATATGACCGTGGACACTCAATAAGGCCATTACTGGCCGAGTTCCGCAATATCATGAAGCTTGATGTATCGCACGACGGGTTTTAAATCTAATTGATAATTGGCCACTTCCCCGAGGGCTTCGGAATATGGGAGGGCAATGCAACCGTGGACTCTCAATCAGGCTCATTATTGGTCAAATTTTGAAAAACCATTAAGTTTGCTACCGTATGCGTGATAATGTTTGCACCATTGAACAATGTCAAAATTAAAAAAAATCTCAAAAAATTCTTTTTCGAGTTTTTTTTATTTATTCAAAGGGGGGATGTTTCTCAGAGTCTTAAACTATGTTAATCATCGATCGAGTTTCCACTTGCTACAATTACGGCCTCCACACGCTTCCGGAATGCACGACAGGTTCCAATAATGCAGTCTGGATCCATTTCTCTCCAGGTACAAGTCAATGTTTGTCTGAGGCTTGCCGGCCACGTCTTTTACCGGGAGAGAACTAATATTCCGGTCGGTTCTGGAATTTGATACGGGATCGACGTGCCCTCGACTTCACCCCGCAATCTTCCGTGCCGTAAAGTCACTGCCATTTTCCTTATTGAACGCACTAGATTCACCAGAATCTTCCTTTTGGTAGCAGCGATGACCCTCGGAACCCGAGCTGACCTCGGGCGACCTGTGGCCACCTTCGCGGATAGTTGTCCTTTCTTTTCTCGGTCTAAAACCCTTTTGACGGTCCATCGGGACACTCCCACGGCGATTGAAATGTCTTTTTGAGACATTTGCGCGTGGGACAAATCACGAATACGCTGCCACTTCGTCATGGTGCAACTGTCAAACTAAGTAAATAATTTTCTTTTATACACAGCCTACTACGGTATGAGCTATAGGTTACGTGCATGCAAAGAAAACCAAGGCATTGTATGCACAGGTGAAACGGGAACTTTATTTGTACGAGGGGATGGATATGGCTGTCATATCGCTTAAGTTTGCTGCGTACGGAACATCTGCAACGTTGTCAGCGGTACCATGATATGTTTTGTTGTTTTGATGTTGAGTACGTGTATTCAACTATATGTCCAACCACTGATTTGTACGATGGTGCAAACATTATCACGCATACGGTATGTCGCACGACGTGTTTTGGTCCTTGTTGAAAATTGACCACTTCCCCGCGGGCACTGGAATTTTTCAGGGATGCCCAATGAGATCATGGACCATCGGTTTAGCCGCTGTTGGTCTAAATTACATCATTTGGAAGAGAAAATATTATGTTCACTGGACGTATAATTATTGCAGAACAGTAAAGCCGAATGTCGTCCCAGAGTGACCCCCAACGGAAACCAGCATGACTCCGGAAACATATATTGATCCAAATTTTTCATGACGGATTCAAAAAGTTGAATAGATTCCCGATAAAATGCAACTTTTTGTGCAGAAAAAGATTAAGGAATTATGTGTCCACGCTTTCTTCCTTTCCCTTGATCTCAGGTTATAGAGTGGTTTCAGATATTCATTTCTGACATCACTTGACTCCTTGCAATCCTCTCTGCGGCACATGCTGCGCAGTTGGCCTGGCCGTTGACAAGAAAAATGACAGATTCGTGAAGCCGTCATTTTCCAGGATGCTTTCAAAGTATTGGCTGCGTTAGTGTGAGATTAGATTAGATTGGATTAGAAAAAGATTAATTTCTTACATCAAGCGGCCACCCTGGATCCAGCATCTCATAGACCTATATGCTTCATTTATTTATCAAGGCTCAAATGTGGAAGCTTTAAGGAGCCGAAATTCATTTGACTTTTTACAATTTTTTCTTAAAAATAGAGTTAGTACAAGAGGTGTCGGAATACTCGCGGCTTACTCGAGGTTACATGCTACAATCTATTAACAGGTAGGGAAGAGATCAAGGAAAAGGTACACAAGGATGCGATGTCTCCACCGCCGTTTACTGGCTGTTTTTCGACGATAGACCATGGGAGATGCAGTGAGTTGACGGGAAAGTGCTCTTGATCTCTCTCGAGATGACTGGTGGTTGTTTACAACTGCAACGAAACATAAAAAAGGGGCTTGGGAAGGGACAACGATGAGAGAACAGAAACTAAAATTGGTACACGAACAGACAAAACACTACCACGCTCTCAAACGTTAGTAATTTTGAACGTCAAAGTTGATGATCGACGAAAGCATTGACCATTTAGAAGCTAGTAGCTTCAAAAGAGTATTCAACATTGGAATCATCAATACAATAATGTTCCTCATGGAGTCAGACACATTCAATATTTCGAGAATGCCATCTACAATTCCACAAAACGTGAACAAGGCTGCATGTTGTCCTGGCTGTGGAACTGGAATATCCGGAGCTTTGGAAGAAGCTGGAAGCCGCGGAAACCCGGTGGAGGGGCTTTCGGAACATTACCGCTACTTCCTGGTGTTTTCAAGATGACTCGAGGTTCAATACGAGAGGCCTCCTGAGGCTGTTGCGTGTAATTTTGGATCGCTTCCTAGGTGGGGCTTTGAAAACGAAATGAATTCCATCGCCAACGTTAGGGTCAGAGCCCTGGTCATCAACTGAGAGAAGGTTACGGTATCAACCAACGTAAGTGTCTTCACTGAGTGTGCACCGTGGGGCACGGAGGGTGGCTCTGAGGTCCGACATTCTTAAGGTTTAATCGTGGGATTTTCGGTATTGGTCCATCCAACATTGAGAAATGTATCGTCTCAGTTTGAGAAATACTTTACCTTGCAACCGATGAATCATTCTGATGACCCATATTGATGTTTATAAAGTACTATCAGTTAAAGCTGTGTTTTTGATACCTCTATATATTATTTGGTGTTTCCTAGCAGATAATCAAGTTGGTGTTCGCTGATTCAAAGAATGGATTACTCTACGGTCTGGAGCTAACCGCAATGGCCAAGGACAAACTGTTGCAAGTCCTTGCACCGGTTTACAACGGCTGCATCCGGGTAGTTCCAGGTCTCCTGTCCTCGACGCCGGCCGACACAGCCTGCGCTGAAGTCGGGGTACTTCCTTTCCGGTTTCGTATCGACACCGCAGTCGCCATCAAAGCGGCTGTCTACTTGGCAAAAACATCGGGTAACAAATGGATCTATCTCCTCGAGGAGGGGAACAGAATCCTCCGTACAGCAGCCAATACTGACCTCCCCCCAATAGCCAAGAGCCACTGGCTGGGAGGAAAAAGTTGGCAATCGAGACCGTTAAACATCGAAAGCCGAATTAAGGACCAGTCCTAATCCTCACTGATTCACACAGCGTAATTTCTGCTCTCCGGTCCAACATGCCCACTCATCCGTGGATTCAGGGGATCATCAGACATATGCCCCCTTAACACAGTATTCGCTTGGGTACCGGGGCATTGTGGCATCACTGGCAACACCGACACTGACAGACTGGCCGGGGCAGGACCATCTGGTGCCAGGTACACCGATGAAGTTCCCCTTCCGGACATCAAAGCGATGGGTCGAAACTTCCATGCAGGCTAGGTGGCAAGAAGAATGGTTGGCAAACCAGCAACTGTCGAGCATATCCTCTGCGTGTGTCCAAAGTACGAGCTCGTGCGGCAACATTACGGCCTGTCGGGGAATATCGGCGACATACTGGGTGACGAACCTTCGATCCTGGCTACCCTTATCTCCTTCCTGAAGGACGCTGGATTGTTTTTCAATATTTGATTCCTTCCTTTCGGCCGTCGGGGCTTCTCTACCGGACGGGGGCACCGCCCTCCACGGTGGAGCTCTGCCTTGTTCGGATTAGTCAATAACTCGTCGTCGTCGGATTAGTAATTAACTCAATGTCAATGGTTAGTTAGTTAGTTAGTTCTTCTGTCTTTCCCAAATTTTAAATGTCGTCCAACCAAAACTCTGTAAATTCCAACTGTTTTTTTCCCAAGGCAGGCCTTATACCTCTGATATTTTCCCTGCAAAGTTAAGAACTAGCCAATGGCTAAAATTCACTAAAATTAAGAAAAAAAAATCAAAGAATGGATGGGATGAACATTAAGCTGTCCATAGTTAGGCGTTGTTGAACTTGTGGTACTTGCACAACATTTTATATGAGTACCCAAGTAACCATATAATCACCAAATAACTTTAAGTTCAGAGTGAGACAATGTCACTGAGACACGATCTGGTAATTTGGGTATTAAGATGAAACTATTACTTTAAAAAAAACTAATCCTGGTTGTATCTCTTTTTCGTTTGTATGCATTCCGGGTGGTGAGCGAACCTGAAGAAGAAGAAGAAGTGGTACCACTGAGCCCCTTCTCGGAACGAGTGTATTGTTAATGAACCTGGTCTGCTATTCAACTACTACTACTACTAGCAGACTTCATCAGTGTCAAGTACCCAAGTGGTGTTGAGTACTTGGCACTGATGAAGTCTGCAAAATCTGTACATGTTCGACACTGACAGCATTGTCACTGACGATTGACATGGTTAACCTTGACCATGACTGTTATCTCAAATGAATGACCAAAGCAGAATTTTGAATATCACTGTGTATTGTCGAGATTTTGCAGCACTGATCTGGAGTCAACGCGTGGGGGCTCATTCTTGAGTTGAACCGTAAGACCTATGACGCTGATGCATGATCTCCTTGTAACCCGTAACCGCTTAAGATTGTTAAATTCTATCCATATTAAGATCATCGGAGTTGACTCCTCCAGCCTTAAGGATTGTCAAAGAGGTGACAAAAAAGCCTCTGAACTTAACCAGTAAAATCTTAGACATACGCGTCCATGCAATTTTAGCACATCACAACCGGCAAGATTACGATACTCACCACCAACTCGCGGGACTTGTTCCGCCGGCAGCTGGCACAGCAGTTCAACGACTGCCAGCAGGACTTCTTAGGTGTGGCCGCCGGTTGCGCTTCTGCCGGAGAGGTTTTCGAACGTCGGCAGCTACGGCAGCAATTCAACCGTTGCCAAAAGGAACCACCGGCAGTTTTCTGCTTCGCTTCCGGTTTCGGTTTCGGATTCTTACCACCTTTGCCCCGGCACTTGCCACACCAGGGACTGCTGCAGCTGAAGCAGCGTTTGAATGGAAGGCACGTCTTAGTCCAGCACGGTGCACAGCAGGTACAACATTTCGATTTTCCAGTCTCGTTAAATTCGTCACTGCGGATAGAAAATTAAAAAAAAAAAACATGGATGAAGGAAATTGAAAATCAATGTTCTTTCGGTCATCAATCATTATTTAACCAGTCATCGCTTTCGGAAATAAGTCGTTGTGGTGATGGATTGTTGTTGTCGGTTGGGTGGAGGTATAGACTTCATCTACCTCGCTTATTTTAATGACGATATCATACATTGCAAATTACCCCAGCTTTGAGCTGGAGAACTTTTCCGCAAAGTTTCGCAATGAAATTGGGTTCGGATTGTTGTCACGCTACTAACGTTGCGTTGTCGGTTGGCAAAAACGGCCTTCACAAGCTGTTAACAATTTGTCTACGTCAGGGTCTCGCTGTGTCCTTTCACTTCCTGGGGGAAATGGAAGGTGCGTGATAAATTCGTTCGTTTCCTAGAGTGTCCCGAGCAGTTGTCGCAATATGTAGGTAGGTACCTAACTATACGTGCATTGCACATGCATAGAAAAAGGAGTCATATGCAAGAGAAGTATTGCTTTACATGCAGAGGACAAAGGAAATGAACTCGTAACCGTTGGCGATTTATTTTCCACATTCCTTAATGACACCATGGCATGCAGCTCTGGGAAAGTTGAATTTCCTTTATGCAATAGGTTCTTATTTAAAGTTTGGCTTATGGAAAAATGGGTCCTGCTAAATTAGTGGCAATTGGATGCATTTTTTTTTTTATCTAGATGAGTAATTGGACAACAATTCATTGCATTTTTGAAGAACCTTAACTGCTCTGTGGTTGATTTGGCTTTCTCTACCAGTACCCTGAACTCCCCTCCCTCGGCTTCATATCCGAAGAGATGCACGCCAACTGACGATCGAAAAACTCGACCTTCTCCAATTTGCATGAAATTTTGCATGATTGTTTGTTATGGGCAATGATTTTTTTAAGTTTGATTTTTTTTAAGTTTTTATTAAAATTATAGCATGGAAACGGCTCTTCTTATCGAAATGACGTTTGAGAGAAAGTTGTGAAGAACAATAATTTTTTTCTGGGAAAAATATAGAAAACAACCTAAATATCTCATGTCCTTGTCCGATTTTTGAAAAAAAAAAAACTTTAAAAAAATCTCATATAAAATGCAAACTTTGGCAATTTTTAAAATTATGGACACTTAAAAATTAAAAACAATCGTAGAACAAAAACGTTTTACGATTTTTTTAATTTTTTTTTTAATTCAAACATTGGCAAGGACATTTTGAGATAGGGTAGGTGAGCCAGATTTGGTCCTAGTATTTGGCCCACGGCGACCTGAGGCCATGGCTTTAGACGACTTATTCGGACCATCAAGGGCTTAGTCTGATTGGTAAGTAAGTCGTTTCCCCAAATTAAAAAAAAATAAACAGGTCCAGGTCCAAATCCGGCAGTGTGGAACTGTGTTTGAGCCTTCAACAACAACCGGAAAAGAAACCCTTTCACGTGTCGCCGATTAAATGAAGTTCAAGGCTGTTCGTGATAAGGCTTCACCCTACGCCTCTTTGTTGGCCGCTTATGATGTCGCTGCGAAAGTGTGAAGTGCAAGCCGCTGGGAATCAGCGGTATATAAGTTAAGTTCGAACCCTCCTGGATCCCCAACACGACGTTTACCAACATCAATCGATTCGCCAACATATCATCATTACCTTCATCGCTATCGACGATGGCAACAACAACAACAACAACAAGAACAACAACAACAACAAGAACAACAACAAGAACAAGAACAACAACAACAACAACAACAACAACAACAACAACAACAACAAGAACAACAACAACAACAACAACAACAACAACAACAACAACAACAACAACAACAACAACAACAACAAAAACAACAACAACAACAACAACAACAACAACAACAACAACAACAACAACAACAACAACAACAACAACAACAACAACAACAACAACAACAACAACAACAACAACAACGACAACGACAACGACAACGACAACGACAACGACAACGACAACGACAACGACAACGACAACGACAACGACAACGACAACGACAACGACAACGACAACGACAACGACAACGACAACGACAACGACAACGACAACGACAACGACAACGACAACGACAACGACAACGACAACGACAACGACAACGACAACGACAACGACAACGACAACGACAACGACAACGACAACGACAACGACAACGACAACGACAACGACAACGACAACGACAACGACAACGACAACGACAACGACAACGACAACGACAACGACAACGACAACGACAACGACAACGACAACGACAACGACAACGACAACGACAACGACAACGACAACGACAACGACAACGACAACGACAACGACAACGACAACGACAACGACAACGACAACGACAACGACAACGACAACGACAACGACAACGACAACGACAACGACAACGACAACGACAACGACAACGACGACGACAACGACAACGACAGCGACAGCGACAGCGACAACGACAACGACAACGACAACGACAACGACAACGACAACGACAACGACAACGACAACGACAGCGACAGCGACAACGACAACGACAACGACAACGACAACGACAACGACAAATAGGTCGTTAAACAAATAGGTCGTTAAACAAATAGTTTATGGTAAAAAAACGGTTGTTAAGGGGGTACTACCATAGAGGTAACTTTAAGACCAGAAGGTCCAGAAGAAACGAGCTCAACTTGTTGGCTCAGCTCTGGTACTATCTTCGGTTCCAAGCTAATCGATTCACCCCTCGAAACATAGGAAAATCCACTAACCCCTCATTTTATCTGCCAAACTTTCATAGCAAATCAAAACAAACATAGTGTAGTACTGGAATTTATACTAGAATGGGGTACTACCATCGAGGTAACTCAAAGACCAGAAGGTCCCGAAGAAACGTGCGTAAGTCACTCAGCATAGTGTGCGGAAAGTAGATTCGGCACAGCTTGGGCACATTCATCGGTACACCTTCGGCACAATCTCGTAGGCATTGGATTGTTCATTAAATAAAATCGGTCCACTGCTGGACAGCTGTCATTGAAGTGGTTCACTCAAAAATATTACTATACAAAGAATGATTAAAATTTAAACATTTTATGTTTAAGCAATCTTTATATATTGATTTTATTAAAGCTTATTTCAAAAGTCTACTAAGTCCGGATAATGGCAAAGAATTTGTTCAGTCTATATCGCTGATTTTTCCTTTCACTTGTTTGCAAAATTTATAAATTATTTAACTCGTTCCATTTAATGATCCAATTTAATAAGTAGGAGATCGACATCTTGCTGGAAGTTATTATAATCGGTAGTTACATAAGTAAATATCGGTTACAAAAGTAAATATCAGTTGCTGGCCGCTTAGTATGTGAATAAAGTGATCAAATTGCTTTTGAAAAAAAAAATGTTAATGGAATAATTCAGATCTGCGCTTTCACGTTGGTTCATCAGTATACTGGCAGTGCATATATGCCGTTGATGATTCTAAATCCATTCGTCCGGTAGCACCACAGTCTACTTCTTCTACTATTGAACCTCAAGCTACTGATAAGATCAATACTTGGAACAAGTACGGAGTAAATGAGAAGAACGAATCGAGAGGCCGTTATGTCCGCTTGTGGGACATTAGCGCTGAAAAGTACGTGAGAATGAGGTGATACGAGGTGAGATAAAAATAGAATTCTTTTGACGCCGATTCCATAACACCTAGCCCATTTTCTACATGTATATTCATTGACATTCTCAAAATGAGTTTCACAATCGAACGCTGTACCAGGTGGGAATAGCTGACGGTAACGGTTAAGGATCCGGATCCATCGGACTGAGGGAGATGGAAAACTGGTTGATTGCATTGTATACCAGAAGTTCTAGACAGCTGCAAAGCTAACAGTGTATCACAATGCTCTGACAAGCCATTCAGGTAGTTATAGTATGAAACCTTTTTTAGGACATGCTAGTTCATTCGGGACGGAAGTCGTACAAGTGTGAAAACTGAAAAATACTTAAGGCAATCGATTTTAGATAAACGTTAGGACCCACGCGAACGAACGTGCCTTGCTTACACAATTTTCTAGAGCTTTTCAACAAGAAGAATAATCCAACAACCCACATGCGAACTAATCTGCAAGGTCTATCGAACGTAGTTGCATCATCCAACCGGACTGGCCGAAACGCGTCCAGATTTACTGTGCAGATCAGAAGTTCAACATCTGTATCGGCTGTATCAAAGTCTTCATGAATGAGGGGGGGTCACGTGAAGCAGCACAATAATAACAAGCCAAATCTGCCAGAAAACGTTCACCAAATCGAATAACCTGAAAATCCACATGACGACGCACATATTCCAGGATTCGTTTCAATATTTGAGTTCGCGTTCGTTTCCAAACGAGGAAGAAGTCAGTCGTCATCCGTTGGTAAATTCATCACCGAAGCCGTTTAAATGTTCATACTACGCAATACAATTTATTTAACCTAAAGGCTCACGTCCAGACCCACACGGGTGAAAAATCGGTTTCAGTAACATTCTCCGTTTGTGGCCACTATCTGGAGTTCAATTTGACGGCGTTTCGTGTCCTTGTGTGGGATCTGGATCACAACCATGACTGCTCTGTGGATATTCCGCATCGGTCCATATACTTTGCTATAGGATAGCGATTCCACGGTGGACGGTAAAAAAAATTTCATTCTTTGGAATGAATCCTGCTTCTGCTGGTTGATCAGGAACATTCAAAGGTTGCACTTTGTTCGTTTTTGTAGAGTAGTTTTTTTCAACCTTTCAAATGCGACTTTACCTCCAGCAGCTTTAAAAAAATTTGCCTTCTTTGTAGTTCTTATACCGAACCAACAGCTTCGCCGACAGAATGCCCTCCTCACCGTCCTTCTCGATGTTCTTCCTGCTGGTTCAGGAAAAGGATGGACTTTTCATACAGCACCGTAATCGTATCGGTCAACTCGTATCCCAGCAGCCAGGCCAAAAAATTCAAGCTGTCAGAAATACCGGGTTGCCAAATATACCATAATATTCGTATTCTATAAAAAATCTCAGTTTGCTCTATGAGCGGCACAACTTGCGGCACACGGAGAAAAATGTTGACCCAAGATTGGTGTGCGGAGTGACCTACCCCTTGGTTGGTCCCCGGTTCATGAGTTGATGGGTCGGTAGCATTGGTACTCAGTACGGAAAACAAGATCGACGGAATACAAATCAAAAAATATCTGTATATATATATTTCGTTAACTGTTTTATACTAGTGACATCTGTTGCAAAAATCAAACATGCTTTTGATCCAAAAGAATACACTTGAAAATCCTATGCTTTTATCCCGAAAGAAGAAGAAGAAGAAGATTACATTTTTCTTTAAAACATTTTTAACAAATAGCACGAAGCATGTTTGCAAAACTGTGGTTACCAAGGGGTTGGTCACTCGGCACAGTGTGCCGAATACAGATTCGACACAATATGGGCACACTAATTGACATCCATGGTCAGAAATTTACATGACATTTAAACAAATCTAGCAACACTGCTATTCTACTATCATTGTTTACATTCCGGTTGACTTGTAGAAACAAAAAGGTGTCGCAAACAAATGAATTGAATTTTTTTCAGAAATATTTTCACACTAAAGCCAAGATCAAGGCAAAGATATAAACAGTATTCTTCGTTTTTCAGTCGTACAAAAAGAATTTGACTATATATTTACTGGAAAATAAAACTAAGCTGAGCTGGAAAAACCGAGTGGGGTTGGGGAAGGTGGTATCGGAGTGGTTACGTGGTTAGTCAAAACCTGAGTCGTGAAGCATAATGTTCCGGATAGAAAGGTATTACTCTGGTTTACCATTGGTGTTGGTCAGTGCATTATATGTTTGTCGAGGCAGAGATAGCAGGCATACACGTTAATGATCGGAGATCACAATGCTGGAGCAAGGCGTTCCGCAAAGATACTTCCGCAGAAAACTTTACATTTGATTTAACTTCCACACAATCATTTTTCATCGTTCTCTGCGTATGTCTTCGAGCTCGATGCAACAATGTGGTAGTGTCCAATTATTTCACGATCTCGCGACCTACTTTCCCCAGCTCCCTGGCAGCGGTCTCCCTTGTTTAGTTTTTACGTTGTTATTCTTCATGCTACACACTAAAAAAATCTGGTGATGTAAACATCCATGCATGCAAACATTCATGCATGTAAACTTCCTTTTCACGTAAACTAGCAGCTTGCAAGAAATGTTGCAAACAAAGGTGGAAAGTTGCATACAATATATGGAATATTGCATGGCATGTAACATAAATTTACACGATTTATAATGTAAATTTGTATGATTTATGACGCTCCATTTATGTGCATCATAGTAACGGAAATTTACACTACTTTTTTTTAGCTGTGTACTATCACCGACAAACCGACATGAATGACCATAGCAAAAACAATAACATTTCTGACCAAAGCACACTACTGACATCTGGCTCCGTGTTCGTGGGAAATATCTAGCTAAGCCATGAAACCGCTTGCAAAAGTTATGAATTGGTTCGTGTCTGATCTATTCTGGACAAATTATTTTTATCTATATCTAAAAATCCGGTGGTTTTGACAGTTCGGATCACTGCACATTTAAATCGACCATTTTACGATTTTCGGGCATAAGTCAGAATTAAGTGTCATGTCGGTTTGTCGGTGCTACTATTGTCCTCCACAGTCTTTATCAATTCCACTAGCAGGCAGTCGAAATTGAAGCAAAGTTTCGCAGCAGTTCCAGTCTCTAAGAGATGAACTAGCCTATGGCTAAAAATCTCTATAATAAAGAAAAAAAAAAAAAAAAAGAAAAAGTTCCAGTCTCTTGCTGCTTCGAATCCGTTTGAAAACATTCGAACTGTCAGAAATACCGGGTTGCGAAGCATACCAAAATATTCAGTATTCATTTAGAAATACAGTCGCACAACGACCGGCACAGCTGTGGCACACTTGGGGCACACTGATAAAAATGTCACCTATTAAGTGTGTCGAGTGACTTACCCCTTGGTGGTTACTCAATTAGAGTATCGAATGAATTAATAGATAAATACAGACAGGGCCTCCTGAAATGTAAATCTAGATATGCCTAGTATATACTAGAAACACTGGAATAAGAGACCAGCGGAGACACTCTCACAATCGAACTGTCAAAAGCGGTTCCAATCTGCAATGTTTACAAAAAGTTTGCTTCAATTAGGGAGGAGTATTAAAATCGTTTAAGAATCACTCATGAACTCGCTCGTCGGTGCATTGGCGATGTCACTCGCAAGCAGTTACAAATGCAAGCGATGCCATGATTGCTTTGATGTTTATCTTGTTGCCAAATTCATGTTTTTTTTTCTCCGCTGGTCTCTTATTCCAGTGTTTCTAGTACATACATAAATAAAAAAAAAACTTTTGTGAGCTTTAGAACAACAGTTCGTATTAAGCTAACGGTCATTTCAAAACTTAGTCAGAAATTATACCATTACCAGATTAAACTGACATAAACGAACACGCTAAATATAAAATGATTAGATGAAGAAAAAATTGATGTTAAATTTTCAATCGTCAGAGTAAACACTTTCTGGATCAGCGTTTACAGTTGCTGTTCCTTTCTTTGATGCAAGGCAATCAAAGCAATCCTCAGTTTCTCAATCGATTGTGTTCATTTTCTGGACGTTTGCCTTTTTTTTACAAGCTCAAGTCCCCGAACCACCAAATTCCACGTAATCTACAATGGCTTTTTCCAGTCAGAGAACGTTTCTAAATGTGCCGTTCCGCAACGAGAAACCCGAATCGCCCGACCGAAAACGAAGCGATTGTCAGCTGAAATCCTACGAGTCCTGTACGGATTCGAGGGCGTGGTCCATGGATCCGAAAGTTTCCTCCAAATTTCTGTTGGACGTTGCGCACAAGGCCCGCTTTCAAAGCAAATTAGCTCGAGTAAGTTGACTTTCCTTAAAACATTGGATGGAAAATGATTGCAGCTTGTTCGAATATTTCAGCCGAGTGGCGACTGTGAACTTACGAGGGAATACCTACAGTACCTGGACGTCGAAGAACTGGTCGATTACGTCATGAGTCTCATGCTAGAACTGAAGAAGACAAAATCGCAAGTTCAGCAACTGGAGGCTGATCGAAAGGACCTCGGCGAACGGTTGGTTTCGGTTCAACAGATGGCGGAAACATGTGAGCAAGAGAAGGAAGAATTGATTGTGGCACAACAGCAACCGTCGGAGCTGCTGGATCAGGAAATGATCGAATTAAGAAACATTATTTTGGCGATGAAGGAGAAAGCGGACCGGTACGATTGCTTAAGGCAGGAGAATGAGTGCATGAAGGTAAAATTGGAAAGGTTCTGTGATAGGAATGAGTCCACGAAGAGAGCAAGTTTCGATGAAGGCGCTTGCGGTGATTCGGTTCCGAAGGCTTGCGAGAGGTTGAAAGCCGAACTGAGGCTTTACAAAAGACATTACGATGAACTAACGGTGCAGAAGCGAACGCTGATGGAACAATTGCAGAGAACCAAAGTGCGGGAGGGCAAGGTTTTAGATTTGCGAAATCAATTGGCGGAGGAGGAATATAAACGGGAGAGTATGCAGCGGCAGATGGATGACTTGCTGGTAAGAGGGAAAAATTGTGGAAATTTGAGTTGATCATAACTTTTCAGCATGACGGCAACTTACAGATCGAGTACGACCGTCAGGCACTGGAACTGAAGAGGAAGGATGAGTACATAGGCATGTGCAATAGGCGATTGGAGAGGGTAGAGTTGGACCGGCGGCCGTCAAGTGCGCCAACTGGTCAAAGGATTATTCAACGGCGAAGCATTAGGGAAGCTTCTAGGCGGTCAATGGTAAGGAACGATGTTGATGGGGAATGTAATTTGGATTTAGAATAGAAGTATGTATTTTGGAATACAAATGTCAGAATTGTATAGGAATTCCACTGTGTGAGCTCATGTTGATTTCTATGAAAACCCATTTCATGTTGTACTGTAAACTCGTCTTTATTGGATATTGAGATAAAAAGGACACTTTAATAAACCACATATACTTTTTAAGACGATCGATTTTTTCAACCACTCCACCATGTTTACGTTCACCACATTCAAATTCCAATTTTATCCATTTGTCCAGCAGTGGAAAGTAATGAAACATGAAATCACAACACTCAACTTTTCCCAGGCTAGTTTCGAATCGTCACGCATTTCCGCAGTAGTAAAGGTGTTAATTTTCACTATCACTTAGTTGATTATACCAACCACAGTCTTTTAATTATCTTTCACCCACTACCAGCAGCAGTAGAAGCTACCCGTGTGTTCCATCTAACCTAGATTCCCTACTGACTTACCTTTCGACACTTGTAAAATGCGTTGACCCCTTGGGGTTTTAATGGATCGAAAAGGCACTACACTACATTCACCAATTCTATCGACTTTTCACCACCCACGCACCAACACAATCCCAATCACATACACCCACAGGATTCCCAGCTACCAGTTGAGCACGTCGAAGGAAAAAAATAAATACAGGACCGTCACCCGAAAGGGAAATTAACCAACTAATCGCTAAATTTGTGGCATTCGAAGGCGAGATTTTACCTGTTCCACACCTGAATTAATTCGCTCTGGCTGTCGTGTAGCGAAATGCTGTAGACGGTCCTGTGGCTGTTGCCGTCGCTGAAGTTGCCGTTCATGTTGGTCGTCCTTCTCGTTCGGCGGCAGCTGTGAGAAGCGTGTGCGCGATAGGCCGGAGGTTAGAACCTTGTTTCGCATTCGTAAAACCGACCAACCGAACAGACGGACGCGCGGGACTCTTTATATTATATTAAAAAAAACATCTACCGCCTCCTAGCGGCTAGTTATGTGCTGTCCTTGTTCGGTTGTAAAGCATTCCTGTGATACAAAAAGAAAAATGCTAAATGCCAGGCCTACGACCTGCACGATGTGATTTGCCGTTATTGCGGTTTTGCTCTCCTTTGCGCTTTTTCTTCACTCATCGCGAGAATTTTTATTCGCGACTAATGAATGGATGGTGGGCGATGCAGTGTGCACAGTGGGTTTGGTTGCGAATATTTGGATTCATGATGTCATTCATGGATGTCAGAAAAGAAATATCTTCTTCTAGATTCATTTGAAACGATTTGCATTCCCAGATGTAACCCGTTATTGACTGATTGTAGGAATGGTTATTTCGTTATTGAGATGTTGCAACAAAAAAGGTGACATATTCTCTACCCTAAGGAAAAAGAATGTTAGAATTCCATAAGAACCACTTATGAATTTTAGCCACAAGAAATCGGTAGGAATTTCATTGATTTGCCTTATGAAAAATATAATTGACAAAAATAAAATAAAATCCGAGCAGACTGGAGTCGAACTGTGGACGTTGAGATTACGGGATCCGTGTGTTGACCACTCATCTTTCAACCGTGAAATGGTTGAATTCGTATAATAGCTACCTCATGTTGGACGAAAATCTTTCATAAGTCACGCCTTTTGAAATTCTTAAGTTTATTTGTCTCAGTGTACACCGTTCGAGAAGTTTAGGTAAGGGAGCATACTAAAATTACGTAGCATGTTTTACAGGGTGGCCACTGAACCGGGAATAAACCGATAATCGAAAACAACCGGGAAACGCCAGGAATTTTATTTGAACCTTGCAATCTTTGGTTGTACCTATAGTAATCGAATTCTGTTAATGTTAGTTGCATTTCCTATCATCCTCCGCAGCGAATGATAAAAGTTGACCTTGCAGACGATGTAATGATGTTGTATCTTTTTACGCTTTCGAGTATACCAGCGAGCATTATATTTATAACATTGTAGAACGACGCACACATTTGCCACGATTCTCTCCATTTCCTGTTCAGCAGAAAAAGCATACGAAATAGAGTATGAGAGGAAATGAGTGCTTTTTATTCGCTTTTAGCCAATCCATATTCCGAAGCTTGGAGAGAGCTGTGGAGAAAGCACAGGTCTGATAATCGCAACGTTCTCATCATCCGTTATTGCGGTCTCCACCAACATCCTGCGATGATGAATCTCTCATTATTGTAAGCAAATCTTACATCCCTGGTTGGGTGAAAACATTCTAAGTTTGATATCTTGAATAATTTTCTTAAAATCTTGAATATTTCTTCAGTTTTCCACCGACCTCGGCTAGGATTGAACCCAGACCCATTGGGATGAGAAAGCAGTCACGCTTACCACTACACCACCGGCGTCGGCTAAGAATATTTCTTCAACCCCGGATGTTTTTACCTTGGGTTTTTACTTTTCCATAGTATAGGATACCAAAAATTGAGTCTGAGATCTAAAAAAATAGCCATGTCGCAGAGTCTGGTATTTTGAATATTTTTGATAATGTTAAAACCTAGAAAACTTTTCATGCCACAAATTGCAGATTTTTTCCATTTCTGGGATATTGAATGCACATCCATAGAGGCAGGAGCGTAGCGTGGTAGGGCTCTATGTGCAGCATGTTAAATATAAATTCAGGTTCTATATACAGCAATTCCATAGAAAAAAGTTATAGTGGGTCTCAGAATTTCATGAAAATTGGTATAGTTCTTCCTTATAAAAAATATTAGACTCGTATTTTTTATTGCGCCATTAGGGTGACCATTTCCGTGTTAGGGTGGTCCAAAAAATCATTTTTTTTTCAAACCTTTCTGAACCTCTTGACCGATTTTTACGATTGACCCTTCAAATGAAAGATGTTTTAATGTAGTTTTAAGAAAAATTATGAAATACTCAGAGATATTTGATTTTTTAGGAAAAAAATATGTTACAAATGCTTTTTCTTGATTTTCACTGCGAGGGTCTTCAACAACTTCTTATTTTAGTATTATTAATTGAAATATCGTTACCACCTACAACGCACCTTTGTCGGACGAAAATGAATTCCTTATACAACTTAAGGATAAATATAAAGAAACAAGAGACAGCAATGAGCGATACAGAAAAAAAGTTGGTCTACATATAGAATTATGAAGGAGTTCAATGTTTCCCAACATATGGCCAACCAAGCAAAAGCACTGCAGCAAGAGAAAGGAATAATGTCGGTGCCTGTAAAGAGGTTAAGCAGAGCTTCATTAGGAGAACCAACGATAATGCTTGTTCGTGATTTTTACAATAGTGACGATATAAGTCGTGTTTGTCCGGGGAAAAGAGATCATTTAATATCTAAAAATGATGAAGGCGAAATCTACGTACAAAGAAGATTAGTTTTATGTAACTTGCAGGAGGCGTACTCCATCTTTAAAAATACATATCCTGATATTAAAATAAGATTTTCCATGTTCGCCAGTAACCGTCCGAAACACTGCATTTTGGCAGGGACAAGTGGCACGCATACCGTATGCGTTTGTATATATCATCAGAACGTTAAACTTATTTTTAAAACACTACAAAGCAGACAATCACTCCCAGATGGTGTTGATTCCTATCACGATTTGTTTAAAAAAATAATTTGTCAAAATCCAAGTGAACAATGCTGGCTGCAGTGTTGCAAAAATTGTTCAGGAACGCAAATTTTAGCCACATAACTAATGACTATTCTTAGTAACGGACATGTTGAATCAATACAATTCAAACAATGGCGTCAAGTAGAGAGATGCATTATGGACTTAGTTGAAATGGACACACAGGAATTTATTGATACTTTTTTAGAAAAATTATTCAATTTATTGCCGCATAACTTTATAGCTGAGCAACAGGCAAATTACATGAAACACGTCAAAAGCAATTTGAAAGCTACAGAATGCATCATAATCTGTGATTTTTCGGAGAATTATTCTTTCGTTGTGCAGGATGCAGTTCAAGGCTTTCATTGGGCGAACGCCCAATGTACTATTCACCCTTGTGCTATTTATTTTAAAGACGAAGAATCTAACGATTTGAAATTTACTAGTTTTATTGCAATTGCTGATTTCACTAAACATAATCATGTCGCAGTTCGTTTATTTCTTACGCATTGTCTAGCGTTCATAAAATGTAAATTGCCAAGCTTACAACAGATTTACTTTTTCTCAGATGGATCAGGAAGCCAATATAAAAATAAGATGACCGCTTTTAATTTATGCAACATGCAAAAAGATTTTGGCATTGCTGCCGAGTTGAATTTTTTCGCAACTTGTCATGGAAAGGGCCCTTGTGATGCTTTGGGAGGAGTATTAAAACGAAACGCTGCGAAAGCGAGTTTGCAAGGCCACCATATAACAACGGCCCAAGAACTTTACTCATGGGCTATTTCTAAGCCAGATTCAAAAATACACTATCAGTTTTTTTCGGAATCCGATTACAATAAAATGGAAAGAAAATTGAAAAACCGTTATATACATGTAAACCAAATTTCGGGGACACAGTCATTCCATAGTTTTAAGCCTCAAAACGAAAAGTATATCATTGTCAAACGGTATTCACTTTCAACGCAAGAAAAATGTGTGAAATTGTAATTAAAGAAAATAAATGCTTCATGTTTTACTTATTTTTCTTCGACCTCGTCATTATTTGTAGCATTTAAGTACTTCTCCCAGAATTTTGATACCAAAATTAATAATGTTAAACTGGGGCCTGTTTCAAAGCCACGAAGACTTCAATGGGGGAGGGGAGTCCAGCCACAGTATACGCTCGGTAAAAATATTTTAAAATTTTAGTGAAGTATACGAGGGGGGAGGTAGGATCTGCAATGTTTAAAAATTGGTCTACGTGGTTTATGGACAGCCTCCAGGCTGAACTGAATGTTGCACCCAGCTTGTAAGTTACTCATAGATTTCATTAGTCACAGCTGCTGTGACTCGATGGAGACGCATTGTGAACTACCTTGCGTCTTCATCGTTTCCATGCACGTGTGGTGCATATATTGCGGAACAATAATTTTTTATTTAAAAAAAATTGTATCTCCAAAACTGCTTCTCCGACATCGCTAATTTTTTGATATGATATGTAAAATTAAATGATCTTTCAATTAAAAATACTAAAATAAGAAGTTGTTGAAGACCCTCGCAGTGAAAATCAAGAAAAAGCATTTGTAACTTATTTTTTTCCTACAAAATCAAATATCTCTGAGTGTTTCATAATTTTTCTTAAAACTACATTAAAACATCTTTCATTTGAAGGGTCAATCGTAAAAATCGGTCAAGAGGTTCAGAAGTTATAAATTTTTGAAAAAAGACATTTTTGAAAAAAAATGATTTTTTGGACCACCCAAACACGGCAATGGTCACCCTAATGGCGCAATAAAAAAATACGAGACTAATATTTTTTGATAAGGAAGAACTATACAAATTTTCATGAAATTCT